GAAATTTAAAATATTTTTCTTATTTTTTTATCGGTAATCTCTTTTTTTTTAATTTTTTATAGAAAAGTGTTTTTTTTATGATATAAATTTTAAAAAATGCATACAAAATGTGAAGCAAGCTACATTCATGAGATTGCAAAGTAAATTATTGTAATAAAAATGATTGACTAAGCATAACACATTTTTATTCCAAATAGTAATAAATTTTCAGTAGCATCGTTTCCATCACTTTTAGTGTTCTATACTTTCACCGGTACATTTCAACGCCATTCAAACCCATCATTTTACTTGACAGAGGCATTAAAACTCGAGGAAGAAAAAAAATTCGTTACCATTCGAATACTCAAAAGACAGCCATGTTTCATGTCACATTAGCTTATATTCGAAAAAGAACTGCTGGAAATTTGCCGAATAACCCTCATCTCGTAATAAATGTAACTGTTGCGATGGTTACTGTTGTTCCATTACAATGTAATGACCGGAGGTAGCGGAAAAATATGGAGCTCGAAAACAGTTGGCCTCTTTTTCCCTTTCTGGAGGATTTTTACTTTCTTTTTCCCTAGCTTTTCAATTCCCTGAAGTTAGGCCCGTGGATTCAATCGTTCGATCTACGCACGTATCGTAAAACAGCAGACGATAACAAATATCGTTTGCGAGAGCATTTGGTCTAATCGCACGTAAAAGAACACGGTGTGTGAGTTAGGCTTAACTTCTGTGTTTTGTGGATGAGGAAATGGTATTGTTTATGTTTTATTACTTGTGAAGGAACTTTTCATGTTTTGACCCACGAAATAAATTCAAGTGATTGGTAACATTGAGGATGAGAACTTTTGATGTGGCACGTAGAAAAACGAAATAGGATTTATTAAATTGATTTCTTAGATTAATTGTCACGTACTTCAACTAATCCTGTTTTGTTGATCAACTTGATACTTGGTACTTCATAATTTATTGCATATTAGCTAGGACGTTAGGAATTTCCATAATCTATTCATTTGTTTTCGTTTAATTTTTATAAAATTTAGGTGAAAATAGCATAATTGTAATCTGGGATAGAGAGTAATGAAGAGAAAATGGGAATAAAAAAGTGATTCTTAACGAGCAATACGATTAGTTACGATAAAAACGGTTAATTTGTTATGCATTGAAGACTTAAAACAAATACATCATATATACAGTAGAGTCCCGATAATCCGAGCCCCGGTTATCCGAGTTCCCGCTTTAACCGAGCTATCAAATATTTTAAGGATTTTTTTTGTTCTAGTTTATTTTTTATTTTTAAAAATATCGCCGAAAAATAAATCTGAATTTTATCTTCCAAACACTCGGGAAAACAAAAACTAACAATTTGATCCCATGAAATGATCATTAATATCGTCAAAAATGAAAATGAACCTAGCGAAGATGATGAAGACAGTGACGATGAAAATCAACATATTAAAATCTCTCACACAGATGAACTTAAAGCTGTCGAAAATGCTACTGAATACATAGAACAACAAAAACAGGCGACACCAGCCTTCCTGTTATCCCTAAAAAATGGCGAAACATTGCTACAGAAAAGCACCAAAGAAATGTAAAACAAAAAACGATTAAGGACTTTTTTTTTAAATAAAAACTCTTTAATTCTCGCAAAGTATACTTTTTAAGTTTTTTCAAGTAAGCTTTTTAATAATAATAGGAATTGTATGTGGTATTCTCGTATAAATTTTATATTTCTTAAATATATTACATCTATACCAACTCTTTTTCTTTCTTTTTTAATACTCTTCGTTTTAACCGAGTTTTTCAGCTATCCGAGTTAGTCGTGGTCCAAATTAATTCGGATAATCGGGACTCTACTGTATTTATATATATGCTTAGGCTTAGTTAGTCATTTTTATTACAAAAATACATTTTGCCATCTCATGAATGTAGCTTACTGCATTTTATATGCATTTCTTTTAAATTAATATCATAAAAACATACTTCAATTCGTTTTTAATTTTATTGAAAAAAGTTGTAGTATTAATTTGGAGTGTTTTTTTTTTTTTTTTTTTTTTTTTTTTNTCTGCTGAAGAAAAACGACAGTTTAATTGCCTTAAACACGAAGCAGATGTTTAATTTCAAGCAAATCTGAAATAATCAATTGAAGATTTTGTCTGTGCGTATGTGTGCCCCCTCATTTTGTAACACCAGAACCGTTTGTTTTAGGATCTTGAAATTTGAACAGCTGGCGCAAGGGACTGTTTGAACCCCCGTTTCTAAAAATCGTTCATAAGTGTAACTTAGTCTGTTGGGGAAGACGTTTCGAAAATAGATTTTTATCATTGGTTATTATACATGGGCATTTGGCATTTTTATAAATTAAATTTCAGACGGTTCTGTTTTTTCAACTATTTAAAGCATAATATTAGTGATATATGCTGGTTCACAGCTCTATTTAATCATAAAAGGAGCTCGGTTTTTGAGATTTAATTATTTATATTCGTTAAGCTTAATGATTAGCTTGGATATCACGCAAGGATTACTTCGCATGATTAGTAATTCAGATACAAAGTTATCTGAAATCACGTGTTTAGTTTGTTTATAGTCGCAGTTTTGAAATGTCTTTCCATAAAACTTTTTACTTAATGTATAACGTAGTATTTTTTTTTACGACAAACGAAGTAACAAGAAATATAATTACGACATACTTACATAATAAACGAATACATTTAGAAATAACGACACTATAATAACGTACAAATTGAGACTATTAAGCTCCGGGAATGATGTAATAGCAAGAAAATAGTTGTACGTAAATTACTTACTCATTTAATAACATGCCGTAATGCGCCTCTGTATTCAGCTACTAAGGTATCAGAAATAGTTTTTAAAATCGATGTTATCTCTAATTCTGACGTTGTTGTGATCTTAAATGCTTCGACAAGTTTATCTTGTTAATTTAGTATTTTTTTTCTTTTCTTTTGGAAGTTTTTTTAGATTATTCGTTCATCAATTTCTTTCGACAAATCTATTGTATACATTTTATTTCCGAAATTGAAAAATTTACTCACGAGTTTAGAATATAGAAGAACACTGAACGTCAGAATTAAAGAGTGTTCCAACAGAGCACTTAAAATAGAGAATATTTCTCGCTAAGTTTTATTACCAAATACAGTAAAGTATGGCTAGTCAAACCAACTCTCAAATATGATATAGTTTGTCTAAATTGTCATTAATTGTAATAGTTTGTCTCCTCCAGACATTCGTCTGGACCTGTGGCGGTGGCTATGGTAATGAGGTACGACTATTTCAGTAGGGGTGCGGGGTCACTGTTTTGGGGTCGTTTCAGCTCGGGTCAACTGGTGAAAAGAATCTCTTTTTTTCGATCTATTGTGTTAGTCCTAGAGTGAAGCTACACCCTCCCTAGAATGTGCCATTCCATAGCACCGGACGGCCTCAGACTTTGTAGTGGGAGGAGTTCTTAGCTTAGACAAATTATACTTAAATTTCTGTAAAGTAAATAATATAAAAATAGCAATTTTTTAAGAAAAGTAGATGTGTAAAAATTTATTAACTTTCTGATGCTTACTTTCTTTTATTAACTTTAGTTTGTTTGAAATTTAAGCTATTATTTTTAATTAATGAATTGAATTAAAACTGCTAAATGATTACATTTGTCATTTTCAGTTTCTACTATTTCGTGCTGTTAAATTTTGTTCAGTTTCTTTCTTTGATATAGGTTTCTTTAAAAACAAAATTCCAACCATGTATTAAATATTATTTATTTAGTTTTGAAAGCTAAACAAAAGTGAATTATGGCTGGTGGGGATTACTTTGAATCGTAACAAAAATATATGTGTATGAAAGGTATATTTAAATAATATAATATTCTCAGAAGGTATTATCCAAGTCAAAGTTCTTAATGATCCCATCACATCATTTTGATGGTTTATGTTGGTTTAAGTGGTCACCCTCATCCAACATTTTCCATAATGCATTCATGGTTTTTGATATGTCAACGAACTTCCGTTATTCCATGATGGAAAATGCTACATTAATATTATGATGGTTAACCATCAAGAGAAGTGTAATTCTCATGAAACAACAATCCATGATAGGCCGGGATAGCCTGGTCGGTAGGGCGCTGGGCCCATGTCCGAGAGTTTGTGGGTTCAAACCCCGCCGGCCGAAGACCGTGTAGTAAAGTGACTGATGCACGTTAAATCTGTCGAGTTGCAAAAGTCCTCCGTGTTCCTATAACAAATCAACACCTCCGGGGGTACAGGATTGGAGATCGATCTTTCTCTGATTCAGGTCAAAATTACGATCTGTGGATGTATGAATGGGTCCGCCCTATAAACGGGTGCGACGTATGGTGTGGCAGAAGTCGAATTCTTGGCCATAGATGGCGCCACTGGAAAACAAGAACAATCGCACCCCCTCTGCCTAAACAGGCATACGTCAACAACAACAATCCATGATGGTTCCAACTATACATTTCCGTGATGGTTTGATGAGAATTCTTGTTGGTTCTCAAGAATATACCATCAAAACAATTTGGGTTTTTTATGTTGGTCCATCATAAATCAGTCCAAATTCCTACATTGGGATGATGGTGGTTCATAATCTTTCCAATATTTGATTTTTAGGAAACTGTGATGGAAATTTCTGATGGTTTACCATGAACAAACCATCAAAACAAGTTGCTATTCTTATGTTGGACCATCATAAATCAGTCCGAATTCTTACATATAAGGCGATGGTTACCTTTGTTAGTTACCATGAAAAGATATAATGGTTCGTGATGGAATAATTGAGGGTTACCATCAAGATTATGTTGGTCCATCAATGGAAAACCATCAATAATTTTGACTTGGGTAGATAAATCAATTAAATCGAAATTATTAAATGAAAATCTATAGTTACAATGTTCTGTTACAATGAATGTGAAATAGAATCTTTTTTTTTAATTTTATTTTTAATTCATGAAAAAGAACATTAAGCTAATTGCTATGATTTATTTCTACTTTTAGAACCTAGAGGTACTTCTCGTCCCCGAATGGCTGATGCAAAAATGCAAGTTTATGGAAGAAGAGGCGATTTAATAGCACTTCCCTGCGTTGCTCATGGTTTTCCTCTTCCTAGCTACAGGTGGTTTGTCCAAGAGAATGGTCAGTTGAGACCCATTGTGTCCACTCATCGAATATCTCAGCTGGAAGGAACTTTGATAATCCAACAAGCAACCGTTGCGGACAGTGGTCATTATGTGTGTTTGACTAATAACAGTTTAGGAGAGGAAAGAGCTCATACGAGATTACTCGTCACTGGTGAGTTTATGTTGATTTATACAAATGTAGTGACCTCCCAAAAAAAATTTTTTTTTCGATCTATGCTTATCAGTTCCATAATAAGAGCGAAAACGTACTTTTTTTTTAAATTGTAAATCTAGCAACTCTGCTACGCTTCCTTTTTTTCACTAATTCTAATGAAAAAAAAATTTTTTTTTTTTAACTTAATGAATTTTATTATATTTACAAACTAAATTGTTTTATATGCTATAATAATACAGGATGAAAGAACTAAATAATCATTCATAATTTTAAAGTGTGTTTTTTCCAGCACAAGCACTAAAATACTTTTCCAGCTTTTTTTTTTTTTTTTTTGCTCGCTTTTAAATAAATTTTCATTTTTATAAAAATTATAAGCATAAGTGAAATTTTTCTCAAAACTGGATCACTTTGACTTAAATCATTATTCGGAAAATTCAATTAAAGTTATCGGTACCTTCACTGTAAAAAAATCCGAGTTACGATAAAAAGTACCGGCACTCTGGGTGTTGCTCCTTTTTATCGTAAAATTGATTTTTAACGGAACATGTTACGGAACAATTTGACGTACCGTAATTTTTACAGTAATAATTACCATAAAACCGCTGAATCACTCTCATTAAATAAATTTTGTTGTAAAAATTATGGTGTAATATTTTACGGTAAAATTTTATTGGTAAAGTGGATTTTACGGATGATGCACGCAAAGTACCAGTGCTTTATACCGCGATTTGATCTGTAATTTCTTACGCAGTTGAACCTCAATCAGATGAAACTTTTCTAAAAAAGAACTGAACCATGTTTCCATTTAAGTTTAACTATTATGTGTTGTAATAAAGTTAAAGAAGCACGATATTATGCTTCATCTTTTTCCCATATGAAGGATACCCATATTAATTTGAACTATGATATAGATCAACACCATCTAAATGTATTAAGATCGTATTTATTTTTGTTGTGCGGAATTTTTATACTAAATTTACTGTAATTTTTAAAATAACAATTACCGTAAAATTGCTGAATCACACGAGTTAAAAAAATATTACTGTAAAAATTACAGCATAATATTTAAGGGTGAAAATGAATTTTACGGTGAAATGGTTTCTACGGATGACGTATCCAAAGTGCTGGTACTTTTAAGCAAATTACAGGATTACTGCTTTCTTACTGCATTATCTTGAGTAATCCTGCCGTAATTTGTTTGTATTTACCGTAATTTGTTAAGGAATTTCTAATGGTGTACCGTTACGGAAACGGTACACGGCAAATTGTATTTCACCTACTTTAGTAATTTTTTTAATTTTAAAGAAAGTTTTTTTTTTACTTTAAAATATAGAAAAAAAATAGTTAAGGTAAACCAAAAATAAATTACGAGATTCCAAATGCAGGAAAAAATTCATAATATCTAAATGCAAACAAATTATGATAGGTATGATGGCGCAGTAAGTGAACAATTTTCCCATTATTTGTTTGTATTTTAGTATTTAAAAATATATTTCAGTGTTTTAAACTTCGTTATTTACTCTTTGTTTAACTTAACTCACTTTTTTTGTAGGTACTTTAAATTTTGAATTACTAATGTAGGTAAAATAGTAAATTGTTCCTCACCCCTTAAAGAGCCCTCCAAACATTGCTTTAAATACTTATTTTGCATTCATTATTTTAATTGCATACTTTGAACACATTTTTGCACAAAAATATTTCTAAAAGCAAATGTGATTACAAAAAGCAAATTTTTCATTTTAGAAATATTAAAAAAAACTTTTTCATAAAATATTATATAAATGTAATATAAAATTACTTTAGAATAAAAGAAACAACACTTTTAGTTTGTAACCTTTCATTTTTAATAATAATCAACATCAAAAATGTAATAATAACATAGAATATTAACTAGAAAGGATGATTAATATTATTAACAATAGCTGTTAAAGAACAATAAATAAACAATAAATCGACAAATGCCATTATTATTTTTTTCCTATTAACAGGAAACGTTTTCCGTATCGTATCTCCTTTGTCAATTAATAATTCTATCATGATTTTTGTCCAATAAGAAAGCGCCGACAGTAATGAGAAATATTTTTGGACCATTATCTTTTTATGTTATATAGAGAATTGAAAATAAATTGCAGTTTTTCTAAAAACCTATTTTATGTTGACTTAAATCATTCTTCCTCTGTAAAATACAACAATGAATGAATATTATGATTCAGAAAATTCAAGATCAATGTTATTAAATATAAATTTGAATTTATAAATAAATTCTTTTCATTACTATTTATAAAATCACTTTTTTTTAAAATTTTGAATAGAATTCCATTCATTTCTTAGTCTTTATTACTGGAACTTAAATTGAACTCTTGAAAAATAATTTTAAAAAGAATCATGTTTCGAGTATAATTTTAAATTTTATTCAAATATAATTTTGGCGAAGAAAAAACTTTTTGTTGCCAAATTTCAAAAACTTATCTTGGAAAACCACTTCTTTTTCCTCATTGAACTTTCGCTTATGATATAAATGCGTCTTTAATTAGGAATAAAACGAAATGTTTTCAGTGGAGAAAAAATTTTTATTTTTTATTATTCTTCTGTCTCTTTGGAATTTAAAAGTTTTGTTCTTCTCTTAAGATCTTTAGAAACTCGCAAATTTAAAAGAAAATCATCATTTTTCCGAAACGAATTAGAAAACCTGAATCAACCGAGCTTTCTGAAGCGTGGAAACGATTTAAATAAAAGGAAGGAGGGAAAAAAACTAAGTACACTCAAAAGATTCGTTCGTAAAAGCTTGCTTTTTTAAAAGAAAACGTATATAATCGATAATAACTTTGAAAACCAAAAAGCTGGAACCAAAAATTCATCGCGTATTGTGTCGAAACTTTCTTGGCAGTTTCAGGAAAAGATTTGCCTGAAAAGTCCGCCTTCGTTGTTATTTTAGGATTTTTCCTTTTGTTCTGCCTGAATTCTTCTCTTCATTTTTGTTAATTCCTTTCATTGAAGATGGAATTTTTTAAGACGTGTGTGTGTTTTAAAAAAAAAGTTCCATTTTCATTGTCAGAATTTCTAGTTAAAATCACACATTTTAAAGATGAAAAATATTCCTATGTAGCGATACGTTTTAAAGAGGATTATTAGGTTTTTTTTTATAAATTGAGTTGCCAAATTATTGTGAAGAAAGCTACTTAAACGCCATATTATTAGAGGCACTATAAGATTCTATGTAAAATTATAATTATCAGGTGAAACTATACAGTTGTATTGTTTTTAGTCGGATGAAACCGGTTTGCATTTGTTTACGCTACTGTATCAATTAGTTAACATTGTAATGCAATACGTTAAAAATAAATATAAATAGGAAGTATATAAGTATATAAAAAATCTCCTGAATAAAAACCCCATTNCGTCAAGACAATAAAGCTGTATAGTATCACCTGATAATTAAGATTTTACATAGAATCTTACAGTGCGTCTAATAATTTTGTCTAATTATTATAATATACTAATATAATGCCTGATATAATAAATATTCTATATTTATATAATATAACGTCTAGTTTATCCTATCGTCAAATTTATATTATACATCGCCGAATTTAACCAATCGATATACTAACGTACACAAGTGCAAACCATTTTTAGTCACATAAAAACAATAAAGCTGTTTAGTATCACACATATATGGCAACGTTACTTTTAAAAAGTAACGAGTAAAAGTACAAGTATTTTTAAAAAAAGTAACGAGTAGAAAGTAAAAAGTTCTTTTTTTAAAAAGTAACGAGTAAAAAGTACAAGTACTAAAAAAAAAAGTAACGATTTAAAAGTACATTTCTAGGAAATCGAAAATTCAAAGTAACCTAAAATTTTATTGAATAATATTCTTATGTTCTTTAATGTTTTTGCAAAATTGTTGTTATTTATTTAATTATTTTTAATTTTGAAAGTTATGGATATTAATTTATTTTTGAATTCGGAAGAATATTATAATATAATTTTATAATATAATCGTATAATATAATTTTAAAATCAAATATAATTTTAATATCAAACTTTTTATGGATTCGCACGAAAAAGAAATTTTATCTATTGATTTTAATTTTTAGTTTATTATTTTTATTTATTTAAATTACCATTGATTTAAACATTTTTTTACTCTTTAGAAACGCGTTTTAAAAACATAAAACGAGAAATCGAGATGTGATTTTCATTGAATTATGAAATTAATGTTAAATCAAAGCTGATACCTATCCGAAAAAAGGTAATAAACAGTTAGTAAGAACAGTTCGATTTTTCCTTTTTTTCGGCAGTAGTGAACTTCTAGCGGCTATTAAATTGTAGCAGCAGCAGTATTCACAGATGGGATGAGCATCTATCTTCTACTTATTAAAAAGTAGTAGTAGTCTTGGTGGATATATTGGGCTGACTAAAAAGCATTTTCAATAGATGACAGGTGCGTCGATTTGGGCTAAATTAGTTCCATTTTCTAACAGACAAACTCTGAATTATACTTCACTAGTCAAGAAGAACGACATACCATATCGGCGTGTTGTTGTTGATTAACTCACGGCGTCTGTGTTTAGCTAGTTTTACTTTGTTAACTCTCTAATGATATCTTGTTTTTAAGCTATCTTTATTAGTTAGTTATTAAATCTATAAAAGTTATTTTTTATCCTGATAATTTGTTTTACTTGATAGGTTACTAGTCTAGCAATATTAAATCAATGCATGCCCTCGTCAAATGATGGGTGTTGTTGGTTCACCAATACTAAACATCCTTTGATCGTTGACCATCATAGTACTAAAACTTTCCATCATAACATTAGGAAAGTTGTTGGCTCAAGAATTTCAAGCATAACTTGTTGGTTGACCATGAGTACCAAAGCAACATTTTCCATCACGAGATGATGGAATATGTTGGTCAAAAATTTCTAACATAACATGTTAGCTGATTATCATATAGTAAAATATCATCTTTCGACACGAAATGATGGAGGTTTGTTGGC